ATCTATCGCTACTATAGATAATATATTGGATAAGAGGACTCAATTTGTATCAACATTTGAAGAATCATTTTCAAGATTTTAAAAGTAGATATAAAATTCTCTTTGGCTTTTCATCTTCAAACTAATAAAAAAAAAATAGATGAATTAAATTTTGGAGTAGTATTTGAAATATTCCATCAATTATCATTAAAATAATTAGACAACTTTCTTATTATTAATAGAATTTTTGTATAATAATTTGATACATTCTTTTAATCAATAAATATCTTTCTTTGCCAATTATGGTTAATATCCACAACTTGATATTTTTGGCTTTTTAAAAATTATTAATCTTATGGCAAAAGATTTGACAAATCATTTGTTTGAACTATATGCAACAATAAAGGTATAAATAAAGGAAGCTTTAGAACAAGAATAGATCAATATGGATACCTGTCACAAGAAACAACCACAACTCAATGTAGATGATATGATTACTTTGTTGCAATTTCAAGATTACTTGACTTTATAACAAGTAGGATTATCATAGGCTTGAACATTTTTTATTCGAGAACAAGTCAATCTTATTGTTTATTGATTATACCTTTTTTAGTCTATAAAAATCCATCTTGTATTCAATGTGTCTCTTCTTGAGACAAATAAGACAGTGAATATCTTAAGAAGAAGTCAAATGCCATCTATTCTTGTAGAAGTGGATAATAATCAAGAGCTCAAGATAGAAGAAGTCTTAGATTCAACAGGGCAATAAAATAAATTGAAATATCTTGTTCATTGGTACAAATATGATATTCATAAATATTCTTGAGAGCCAACAAAGAATCTTGCAAATATAACAAAGAGGATTGAGGTTTTTTTTTTTTATGGCATCTATTGAAGATGCAAAAAAATAAAATTGATAAAAAGATGATGACTGCTCCTCATAGAACTCATCTTTAAAAAGAAAGGTAGTATCATAGACACATGCATTTATTCTAATAATTACCTAAATAATTAACTAGAAGTAAATAAAAGTAGATTAATTTCATTATATCTTGTACAAAAGCATCATAAAAGCTTCCTAAATGTTGCTTTGGCTTTAGATATGTTTGTAGTTAATAGGTAGACTAAAAACTTGGTCAATAAGTTATCCACGTATCACATTTATTAGTAGCTTATAGAACAAACTAACTTTATGGCCAACATATAGATGATTAATAAACTACATATGTTGACTAAGTTTTGAACCTATTAATCATCTACAATTATTTAAAAATTCAAATCCAAATCTATAAAGCTTAATTATAATATATTATTAAAAAATTACTTTAATTTTATTCTATTTAACTCTTCTTATCTAGATTTTTATTGGTGTTAATATGTATAACCATGATATTATTTCATCATCCTCTATTCTAAGAACAAATTTTGTAAGGACTATTAATCATATATTGACAAAGTCTAAAATATAATAAATTATTTTAATCACATATTCTAATCTTTCTTTCATTTAAAGGTAATTAATAGGTCATCTCAATCATTAGTAGTAATCTATACTAGGGCAAAAAAACTATTGTATTATTTGATTATTATTGAAGTGTATATAACTTCTTTCAAATAAAACATTTGAAATATTATTAGTATTAACTTATATCTCCAATAATATCACCAAACATTGAGAGTCTCTTTGAAAGTTTTGATACTAAATGCATTGTATCTTGCTAACTATTTAGAAAAAAACATGTTATTCTTAAAGGTCTAAATCTCTATTATGTTGTCTTAAAAGCTATGAAAATCTCAGTATTTCGTCTAATAATTCAACAAACAATAGCTCTTGAGTTGATTGTTCTAATATTAGGGACATGAATTATAACAAAACTCTAAAATAAAAATATAAATAAATAAATAAATAAATAAATAAATAAATAAATAAATAAACATCTTGTGATATTCAAAATAAAAAATAAATCAATTAAGGATAGATATAAAATAAAAACTCAAATGGCTATTTCTAAATACAAAGAGATCATTGAACTAAGATAAGAAAAAAAAAATGTTTACAAGAATAAAAAAGATTCTACTCTTGTTTTTGTATATAATATCTTACAAAGAAGCTATGTGACAATGTTCTATGGATCATCTAAGGTGCTTCTAACCTACACAACTAGTTTTCAACATGTGCATTATATGACCAACTTATAAAGCAAATAATCAAAATATGCAACACATGATTAATTTGTTGGCCTAGTTTTTAACCTACCAGTCACATATAAATATTTGAAAAATCAAATCGTTATCTATGAAGCATCTACAAAGATTAAAAGAAACTACAAACAAGAATAAAAGATAGAATGCAATCTTCATTGAACCTACTTTACTTCATAAAAAATAAAAAATTTGATTTTTTATCTTGATTTTGATAGATGTTGTTGATGAATGTAATTCTTAATATATTTTAATATGAATAATTGTCTAAAATTAATATTATTTTTAAATATATTTTACAACTTCATATTATTAATGGATTTATATATGAATAAGTATTTAAGCTTAAACCTATTATAATAAGAATTAGACAATTTTACATCTTTAATAGATTCAAATATATATGATTGCTAAAATTTTCAATTGATATTTAAAAAAGTATACAACTTTAGATCATTAACAAATTTTGATATATGTAGATTCTCAAGTTTGATATCATCGCCAAAAGAGTTGGGCAATATATATGTTTAACATATCTATATATATATATATATATATATATATAATATAATATTATAATATAAATAGAGATTAAATTTTAAATTATTATTAGAATTTTTGAACAAAATTTAATCTATAATATATTGTGATATAATTATAAATATTATAAATATTTCTAAAATAGATATTTTATAAATGAATATAATAAAGAATTATTATAATATAATCAAATTATATAAGTCTTTAGTAATATTTTAATTATATGTGTAACCTTAAAACATAGTTAAAGACTTGTATAACTTAACATGTTTCAAAACCATTAAATTGCATATTTTATATTAGTAACAAATTTTCATTTGATAATCTTTTCTTGATTTAAATAAATTTTATGAAATTATATATTTTTATTTATATTTTAATATTAATTATCAATATTTAACATCATTGTCATGAATGTTAAAAAGTTAAAAGATATCAAAGTGTTTGCTTAAAATTTTAAAATTTATTAATTGTTTTAACTATCTATATTAAAAAAATAAAGAATAAATACCTGAAATTAATTTTTAAAATACTTGTGGCTCAAAGATTTCACAATTGTTTACCAAATCAAAGTTTATTCCTATATATATATATTTTTTTGCAAATTCCATCAATAATAATACCAAAAATTAAAGATGATATTATTTTATTCTGTAATAATTATACAACATAATTACTAAGTTTGACAAATAATTTAGAATACTTACTTTTACAATAATATATCATTTTTTGTACAAAAAATACTTTTATCAATCTAGTCTTTTCTATCTAATTGAAAAATAATTATTCACTTAGAAATTTTAGTATATTTTATAGTAATAGATTGTGTAAAATAAAACCAAAGGATAAATAAATGAATAAATACTATTTATTACATTGAATAAATAATTAATAAATGTTACTCGATCCCACTTCATTAAGTGAATCTAACTTGACTTCTTCAGTTTAATTATTTAATGTAAATACTTAATTTCACAAGGTTGAGAATGATAATATTTAGTTAAGTTAAATATTAACAACTAAGTAAGTTTTAAAACAAGGATATTTTACTACTAAAAGTAAGAATCAAGTGAAATATAAAGGTTGAAAGATTAAGGACTAAGAAGATTTGTTATAATCCAATCCAACATATAATGCATAGATGGTTGTGCTTTTGAGCAATTAAAATGTTAAGAAGAATTAATTTAAATTTATTTATAGGATTTTTGGAGTATTTTTACCATTCTTTCCAATAAAGAAATTAAAGGGTCTTTTTTATTTTTTTTTATTTTTTTTGTTCATTTTATGATTAAAAAAAATTATAGTTTTTTCTGGAAAGAACCAAGGTTGTGCAAAGATAGACTATCATGAAAAAAATCCACTTCTATGGACTTAGAATACGTTACAGTACATAGTTGTTGTCTATACTAGGTTGAAACTAAAATATATAATATATAAATTTATTGATTATATAAAGTTTCTTGACTTTCAAGCAAGATATGATAGTAGTACATTAGAAAGAACAATAATAAAAAGAAAAATAAAATAGAAGGTAACACTAAATTCTTAGTAAACACTTCAAGTAGTTTTATGAGATTTTAAAGTGATCGTTATTAAAATGGTATTTTAAAAAAAATGTACCACATCTGAGATTTAAAATGATTAATTAGTGGGTTTGATCAAACGTTATTAAATCAAGTTAGCATAGAAATGAAGTAGCCATAACCTTATATAATTGATTGCTAATGTAATGTATCAAAAAGGTGCAACGATCTGAAAATTAATTCAAGATACCATCTGTGTTTTGATGAGGGCAAAAAATGAAATAAAAAGTCACAACAAGAAAATTCTAAAACTTAGTGCGAGACAGAGTGATGGTGGTTAACGAGGCAAACGAGCTTGTATGGAGTCTTGAGAGGAAGTAGGAGTTTGTAGTCGTAAGTAAAAATCATAGTTTTTCTTAGATGAACAAGATGTACGAGTTCTTTACATTTTATGCTTAAGCACACTTTAGTTTCCATTCGATAATTGCAAGAGGTGGGATTCTTCTTAACAATATCCACTTAAATAAATAAGTTTGATAGAAAAAGGTTCTACATATGAGAGATCCAAGCAATTCAAAATTAAAGTTTTCTATATTTATAACTACTACTACTACTAAAAACAACAAAAGCTCATTGCCGACAAATACAGTCTTTGCAAGAAAGAAACACACACCAGGCAGCTCAATCACATCGCAGGCAGCAAAAAAACCAAGAAATCACCAAACGCAAGGACCCATCACGACTTTGGTACCGGCAAGCACGAGAAAGACCAGTCAGTTTCCATTCCCACGCCACACCCACAAGCTAGCCATATACCCCGACCACCGATGGCTTTGTGCACCACAGCACCACACCAACATTGTACAATTTCCTTCATCATCCTTGCATAAATTTGCTACATGCGCTTACACCGCTATCCTCCCTCTAAACCCTATCCTGGACCACACTCTCTAACCCCCCCCCCCCCCCTGTTCTCAACATCTCTGCTTCGCTCCTTTGTCCATGAATGCGATACCCTGCCGAGGAAAACCCCTCCACATGCATCCCACCCACCCATCCAACTTCCATCGCTCTCACCCCCAGTGCACTGCTCCTGCGCGGCCTGCATGGAACATACCACTGCGGCCTCAAGCTGCCCGCATGGACTTCAAAGGCGATCACGGACTCCTGTACGTCCACTCAGTTGAAAATTGCAACATCCAGAAAGTCCCCCGTCTGCACACCAACAACGATCCCACCCGATCAGCCCACTGCAACCTCTTCTCCGACCCACTTGAATGCCTCCCCAAAACTCCGCACTTCCTCACTTCCGCATCAATCTCAATGGTAAGATGCCCCACCCAGTTACCTGGAATTGAAGCTCCGCAAGACTCCGAAAATCATCACCTCTTCTTGCAGACGGGGTGGAGTGCGTCATGCCCACCTACCATTCCACGATTTCCCAACAGTCAGAACCACGCACCCACATGCATCCTTGCACTCACCACCCACATTCACCGCCTCACAACAAAGTCACAATACTCATCAACATGGAACCACCATCTCAGCTCTACACCCCTAAACCCATCTCCTCCTCGCAACCAATCACGTGCGGAGCCTCACCGTGCGAATCACGTTGCGACCGTGTCGGTCAGGGTACACAAAGGCGAACGACAACCGGGCATCTCTCTTCCTTGCTGCCGGAGCTACCTCCTTCACCTGAACATGTACATCAATGTCATCCCCTGGCCTTCCAAACACCAACAACCATCAACCACACAACCTGCCACTGGAAATGCACCAAACCCAGCTTCGCCTGTGAAACATCCCCATGCTTCCCCACCACCGACTGCACTCATGTCTCCACTCTCCAAACTCAACGCCCTCCGCACCAATGTCACACCCTAACTACCCAAACCCGACTCCGGATTTAGAAACTCGCTCCACTTCTCAACTCATTCTTCCGCCACACACACTGCACGCACCCCTTATTCCGCAAACTCACGCGACTTCCGAGCCATCCTTACCAAATCAGTTAGCTCCCGCAAAGTGGCGTCCCGCCATGTGTAGATTTGAACCTCGTCCTTCGGTTCTTTCCCCCGAACGCTGAAGTCTTCCACAGTGTGGTGCCCGCCATTCTGCAATAAACCGGACACCCCGCGTGCCTTATTCACTCCAAACACTAGCACAGCAAACGTGAAAACCACCCACAATCCCGCTGCCTACAAACTGGGAACGCAAGCTGCGTCAACGTGCAGAATGAAAGGGATTTCTTTACCTTCGTAAAGACTCGCAGCAGCAGAGGGCAGGTCTGCAAAACACACGTGCACCATACCAATTAGTGCAATCACAACTCCATCGCGCATCCCCCAGCGCAAAGCCGACCCGGCGTTTGCTCGTCACAATCACCCGCGCCATCACTCTACTATACCGTGCCCATCGTGCCAGATCATTTCCCAGCTTTTTGGGTGGCGACAGCACCTCCCACACCTTAAGTCCAAACAAGCTCCAGTGACTCCTAACACGACATTCAGCGTTCGCACCCGACGCCATCGCATGCTTCAATTACATTACTAATGACTGTGCGACTTGTGTTACGGACAAGGACACTCCACACTGCAACAAAATTCTTTCCAAGCATTTCGACAGAAATGTTATTGCTTCTCTACTCCCCACAGAACATATGGGACTGCCGTGCATTCATCCATTGTGTGTTGATATGCAGCATCACGAAAGTGGGAACCCAGCAGACATAGCTAACTCGAGCCAGCATCAATTCCGCTACCATAACCCTAACTAACACGTCGCCAGAATGAAGCCGAAACAGCATATACGGATTGACTGGGGGCACGCAAAAGAGGTCACTTCCTCCTAACCCAATGCGACCGTTCCCTTCACCTCAAACATGCCGAGCTTATTCAAGCATAACGCGTTCTATAACCCGTTCCGCCACAACTGATTGGTGCGAGCAGTAGCGACAACTTCTTCATCCCGCAAGGCCCAACATGACAATCAAGGTCACACCACATACTCACCCCAACCGTTTCCTATCAACTCTCCAACAAAACTATGAACCAGCCACACCCTATCGTTGCACTGCAGTGGTACGCACACCACACCAAGCTCAGGTGAACCCTAGGTCATCAATCAGAGATTCCGCTGCTTCGTTCAGAATGTGTCCCGGGCAACAGGTTACAAACGCCTCGTCGGGAACCCTACAGAACACCACACGAAACGCTTGGGAAGCCTTGCCACACGAGCGAGACCGACCCTTGTACATCCAACACGGCTGCCCTACAAATTACCATGTCTGCCCCTGCAGCTGCACTCTTGTCCTTGCCCGTCACCGATTGACCATCGACCTCTCACTATCAACTTCGATCGGCAATGAACCGTTCGCTGCTGGAACTGGCCAACGCAAACATTAACGGAAGCTGTCACTCCGACCACCTCTTTCGGGCAGACTCGTTGCCTGGACACTCATCGCCGCCCGTTTGACAGTAGCCAAGAACGTCAGGAATGAGAAAAAAACGAGACCAGCAGCGGTCTCGGATTCTCGAAACTCCGTCATGGGGGGGAGGGGGGTGTAAGGCGCAGACCATTCCGGCGCGACTGAAGACTGATCGCTTGCGCTTGCGTTCTCAACCCACGAAATGAACAACACAGAAAGAGCTTCTGCAAAATCTCACCTTCTCTCGGTCCACCACCGGAATATTGCGAGGCGGGCCAGGTTGTCCTCTGGGAGCACCCATGACATTACGCGGAGGACCTCGCGGTTGCGAATCCGGAGGTGGTGCTGCAACTTGCGCTGCCATCTCCAGAAAACGTTCTCCTGGCTTCTCCACCTCCACGACACTAGCAAACAACCCAGACAAACACAACAACGCGGCAGCAGAGCACAAATGGGGGGAAGCTTGTGAAGGAAAGAACAAAGAGTGAGCACAACTTCTCCACTCTATTCTACTCTAGGGTTCTGTTCTGTTGGGGCCTTCCTCTCGCTCGCTCGCTTGCTGCGGGACTTCCATGGCTTGGCAACCGTGCTCGATCGGGGACGCAAAAGCTTTATGGGTTCTGAAGTTTCTACGAGTAATGGACATATTCATTATAATTCAATGATTTTTTTTATTGATATTTGTGTTCAAATTTCTGTGTAGTTTGAATCATATAACATTCAGTTTGATCTTCGTGATTAGATGATATTTGTTTGTCATTTTGACGTATTTCAATTGTCTCCGATGAACAATGACATGGTTCTGAAAGTTTTACATTGAGATTTGTTTGCGTTATATATATATATATATATATATAATATTATTTTCTATTTTGGATTTCTTTTGCATGCATACGCAAGTCAAAAACCTGTAAAAAATTCAATTTTTTTGGCAATATTAACTTGAGTAAGTCATTATCAAATGAAGCTTTTAAAAGTGTGTATATTATACATATCTTTCAAAACTATCATAGCATGTTCAGAAAAATACATGATGTTTTCATATAATATTGCATAACTAATTGTACAATAAAATGATTTTTCTTCAAATGAGAGATTTAAGAATTGTTTCTTTTATATGTATACAATTATATGTTTATATTTACGTTTATATTTCAATGACTTAAAGTATTTTGAATAAAAAAAATTATGTAGCATTTTGTTTTCTTCTTAAAACAAACAACTAAATTAAATTGAATTTAACTATGCTGATAAAATGATCTCAAATTATCAATTTTATATTATTAACAATACTAAAACAAAAAAATAGTGCCTCGTAAAAAAATTACATATAAAACTCACTTAATTTTTTTATTATATTATTATGATCTCAATGAAGAAAAAATTTAATCATTTCTTTACTAAAATAATTGTAAGAATAATCTTAACATATCTATATTTAGTATTATTGATTAGACTTTTGTAATAGAAAGAAGATGATTTTTTTTTAGATTTTTCTAATACGCAAACTTATTATGAAATATATATTTTATTTTAAATTACAAAAAATTCATTTATAAATTTTGTAGCTTTAAATATCTTTAATATACAAATTTAGGAACATTTTAAAAGAACTATTTTATGACAATTTTAATTCTTACATGCTATTGCATTACTTTGAATATTATAACAAATAATTGAGTCAGAAGATTGTTTTGATTATACATTGAAAATTTTTTAGCATTTTTATTTTTTTAATTGAATACAAAAGATTTTTTATTTTTTTATTACAATGTCAAAAAGAAAAATTATGTTGATAAAGAATATTAAATAGAATTGAGCCATCTTAAATTTTTTATATAATTAAAAAATGATTACATTAAATTATATTCTTAACTTTTCATCAATAAACATCAAATTCTATTATTAAATGATATAAATAACTTTTTGATCAATAATAAAATATAGACATTTACACAAATTTATATGTGATTTTCCTTTCAATCTTCTTAAGTCAACATATATATATACTAAGATGCCTATTCGGCTTGTGCATATGATTTAAATAAAGTACAATTGCAGTTTAGAGATTAGTAATACTATTTAATGTCTGTAAATATTTGTATATTTATTTATTTATTTATTGTAATTTTCTAATTGTTTAGAAGTCTAATTTTATCAAAAAAAATATAATCATAAAGTTTAACCATCTTGAGATCACAAAAGTATTTGTGAGTTAGAAACATTTATTTTTGAAGTGTTTTGTTATTTACATTGTTATTTATCAATCTAATAATCTAATCAATCATTTTGATAACTTTAAAAGATACTACAAAGAATAATGCAATATACAATTACTTATGTAATACCACATTTTTTTTTCTAAAGGTGGCAACTATGGCTACATATTTTATTAGTACAATCTCAAACAATAATGCAATATATAATTACTTGTGTAATACCACATTTTTTTCTAAAGATGGCAACTATGGCTACATATTTTATTACTACAACCTCAAACATTATTACTTTGCTCACAAACATCTAATCAGAAGCTTCAAATACATTATATGTGGCAAATCTACATTTTTTACTATCCATCCATAACTTCTTTATAAAAAATGGTGATCCATTGCCTATCATCTTCTAAGCCTTAATCTTACAAATTCGTGCCTCTTGAGCCTCCCATTGCACATTTGGATGCCACTTGTTGCAAACAATAACAAAAAGAAATTTCAACAACTTAGAGCTATGAAAGATCATGGAATTGTAATTAAGACCTCTTACAACAAAACTACTACTAGATAGTTTATTACAAATGACTATGTAGAGGTCAATACTTAAATTGACACAAGCTAATTAGAGTAATAAAACTTTTCCACTACACTCATTCATTGCTCTTTTAAAATGATCATAACCAAAAAATTTAAAAAATATTGTTTTATTATTTTATTGTATTTTTATATTATTTATTATTTTATCTTTTTACCACATTCTTTAATTTTTTTTATTTCACAATTATCATTATTAATTTTTATCAATTTTTTTTTTTGAGATTATTTATGGAGTATTTTTTTTATAGAAAAATAAAATCATGGTTACAAACCTTCATTCTACTCTAGTGTTTATTCCATAACTTTGATGTTGACTAAGAAACAAGAAAAAATTGTCATCAAATTATTCAATTTTGGTGTATATTGCCAAAACATTCAAACTCACTTGTGGTATGTAAATGATGGAGTGGAATATGAATAAAGAAATTGTATAATTTGCACCAAAAAGAAAATATTAGAAAATTTTGCAACAAAATTTTAAAGGACATATTGCTAAAATATTTGAATTTAGAATATTTTTAATCAAAATAGCAAATAATTCAAATGAGCATGTTTCACACTTTTTTTTGTCTATTAAAAATAAGTAAGACTCTAGCATATTTATTATGGAATTTTCTTTTTGGATGCCACATACAAAATAAATATATTTTTTTATTCTATATTTTTGGAGATATAATATTATATATATATATATATATATATATATATATATATATATCCTTTTTTAAGGCCTTTGTCTTTATAAAAATTAAAGTTAAATGATCTTGCATTATTGACATTATATTCAATTAAAATTTCTAAAAATAAAATATTTAATTTAAAGTTTTTTCATTCATTAATTAAATTACGTATGCATGTACAAAAAAAATTCAACAAGAATTTATCTTTTTTAGAATAGAATAAAATAAACTATCTAATATGATAAAATATATTTAAAATACTTAGATTTTACTATATAAGAAAAAACTTATCTATGTATCAATAAATATACTTTGGCATTTTAGATAACAAATAATATCATGTTGAAATGAAGCTCATAATAAAATATATATTAATGTAGTAATATTTTAAGGACATGAATCTTATTAAACTAAAAGATTAATATACTCTTATGTAACTCAAAAAGATTGGTGAATCATTTAAAGATGGTATAATATTAAATTAGAATTACTATTCTTAAAGACAAGAAGACTAGAAAGTCTTGAAATAAGTATAAAGACTAGAATAGCATTGATAAGAATGAAGAAGGCTTCACTCTTGCTTCCAAATATACTATCTAATTAAGAACTAGATGGCAATATTCTATATGACCTCCAATACTTGTCAAATTTGTAAGACACATGTCTTAACTTGTAAAGCAAGTTTCCTATATACACACCACACTATTAGCTTATATAACAAATTATCCACATGTACAATACATGGCTAACTTATTCATCAAGTTTTTAATCTATTAATCAACTATAAATATGTATTATGTCAAATATGTGTCTATGAAGTTTCTAAGAAGATTGACCACAATATAATATCAAAGTTATCTACATTTACCTTCTACCTAGTACTTCTAATCTAGGTAAATATATATGTCCATGACACAATGTAAGGATAAATTTCACCCTTTAATTCAAATTACAAGATGGTATCAATTAAGTATTGATTGTAATTGTTAATGTGAAGTGAAGGAAGAAAATAATAAGAAAAAAAACAAGAACAAATATAAAATAAGTGAAATGAATGAAATCAAGCAATTATACCTTCCAAAACTTGGTCACAATATATTTACTATATTTTTACTTAATAAAAATAAAATCAAAAAAATAAGAATAAAATTTTAATTTTAATTTTTTTTTTCAATGATGTAAGAAATATATAAGTCTAAGTTACTATGAATAAATTATCAAGGTTTAAAGATAATAAGTAAATAAATAAAAAAGTTAAGTGAATAATTTATTTTAAGAATAACTTGCTTATAGATTAAGGATTTAAGCCTCACCTTAGCTCACATGTAGTGTATATAAGTGTCTATAAGAGGCCATAAAGATTTAGTCTTATCATCTTAATTACATTCAAGGTGCTACAATCCATATAGAATTTGTACACCTCTTGTTAAGGACATAAACTTCAAAGAACTAAAATATCAATAAACTCTTGTATCACTTAAAGACTAAAAAATCACTCAAAAGATGATATAGTATTAAACTAGAATGACTATTGCCAAAGAAAAAAAGACCAAAAAGTCTTGAAACAAGACTAAGGACTAGAAAATCATTGACAAGAGTAATAGAAGGCTTCATTCTTATATATATATATATATATATATATATATATATATATATATATCTTCTTAACTAGAAGCTATGTAGCAATATCTTATAGGACTTCTAACATGTATTGACTTTGCAAGACACATATCTTAACTTGCAAGATTTTTTTTTTATATGTGTGCTACATAATTAGCTTATTTTGTAAGCTATTAAGACATGGTTAACAAGTTGACTAAGTTTCTAACTTATCAATCAACTACAAACACATGTAAAGTCAAAGAAATGTCTATAAAGCTTCTAGGAAGCTTTTCTAAAAAAATATTATAAAATAAATCTAACATTATCTATTTCTACTTAATCATATAGATAAATATTAAAATAAATATGTATGTCTAAGATATTATCTCTCCCTTCTAGAAATAAGTTCTACAAGGCACATTCATCATCTTTCATAGATCTTATAATTCTTCATTTTGATTTTGATGGATATCCTTGATGAAAAGCGGAAATC